TTAGGCTCTGGGATTAACTTCCAAGTTGAAACCAAAAGAGCCATTTAAACACCCCATCCCACCCCCTGTCTATCAGACTATAAAAACAAGAGACTGCCTCTTAGTTTTCAATAGAAAGAGCAGGACCATGGTGAAGGCTAGTAAAGCTATGCTTCCTTCTTTGACTGCCTTCAGACTCACATCCTTTATGATGAAATAGACCAATTACTATTCACTTACAAGTTAGTGACTGATCAGTTCAGCCCAAACAGTCGAAGTTTTGAGTCACTAAAATTGTGTTTATATTGTCATGTTTCATGATAACTTCAAGGAATAGTTCTGATATTAATTGCATGATATGAATATGCATTCAGCTGCTTTAGTCAAAATGGCACATATAACGATAATATGTTGTTGGCTCCAAAATAGTAGCCCTGTGAGAATCAGCTGAAGAGCTTTACATGTTGAACTTATTCCAGGACATTCTGATTCCAAGGTTTGGGGTGTGGAATCAAGAATTGTGCATTAAAGAGCTGCTCATGCCAAAAATACGTGCCACGGGCTTTATTTGCTGGTGGATCAGTGGCAGAATCCAGATTCTAACCTGGTAAGCCTACCTTTCTCTTAATATGGAGTCATGTGTTCTGTGACAGGCTCTTCATTGTGATTCCACAGTAATCAACCAGAGGGTGCACTTCATTGAGGAAAAAACATCTATTGAAACACATGTATCGTCAATAATAAGCCATCACCAAAACCCCCCCCAACATTTTAAGAAATACTGCGTCACACAATAATGACTTTCAAAAAGGTTTCCCATTTCAAAGGTTCTTTGTGGCAAAGCAATCAGAGTGTGAGAGGGACATAATTAGTCATTTTGGTCCTTGGTACCAACTCATCTGTGGCCTTGATTAATTGGGCCACAGAGTGCAGACAGGTCAACCAGTTGGCCAAGGTGCCCTAGCTCCTCAGTGCCAGGATTCACCATCTGGGTACTCCCGCCACATACACACAGGCCCAAATCTCTTTGTAAACAAAAGGACAGGTCTCCATCCTCAGGGAGAAGTAGAGGATAGACAGATACTTTGTCAGAAGCATTCAAACACTTATGGGGAGAAAGGAGTTAAGGATCCAGACTCATACAGAAAATTGCTTACTTAGTATGTCGTTTTGCACATGAAGACCCAGCCCAAGTTATTCACTAGTATTTGCACATCTTAGCATATTGAACTAAAGCAATAATTCAAAGGCTGTTGGAATTACTTACAATATGGAAGGCATTGACAAAGGTGTTCTTCCCTCAAGCGGCCTTAGCTGAAAATTATACATATGGAGAAGTGCATAACTACCCTCAGTATTCTAAATTATGCAGACACTTTACTGAAACAAAGTTTTATTAAGATGAACAGATTATTGGATAAGATTCCAGCTGTCAACTGTGAACCACCAGCAACTGAATTGTGATTTACCAGAATCATGCATTTCAGGGAGGGATGCAAGCGACTAATGAGTGAGCTGTTGTTTACCCAGGCAAGCATCTCCTTTATTCACTTGCAACGACAAATATGTATATATATGTTTTTAGTAGATTCTTTTCCGCCTTTATACATTTTGAAATTTATTTGTTTTATGTGCCCTGGGGATCCCAGACCCAAATCACTCTCTTTGAGCACATCTTCATTTGATGTGGATGCAATCAGGTAGCATGGATCACGAGGCTTAGTTACTCCACTGATGACCTATACAATTTGGGGCACCTTATTTGACCCCTGTTTGCCTATTTTTTTCAGCTATAGAGGCAAGGATTTTGACTAGATAAGCTTGAGGGTCTCTTCCAGTCCCAATAGCCTAGAATTCTACCATTTTGTTCCCACAATTCCATTGACCTCTGGCCAATGCCTCTTTGCTGGCTGAGAAGATCTCATTAGTACCTTGCCCAAAGTTTGAAGAGAGGCTCTTCTTCTAGCTCTAAGCTTCCCCACCCAACAGGTTAGTCTTCACACTTCCCATGGAGTGGGTAACTGGTGACCTGAGCACAGAGAGGCTGGGGACCTATAACTTTGGTAGCCCCATGGTCAGGTGCCTGACATCAAGGTCACAGACAGATGGTATAGCAGCCACAGTCTGCACTATGAGGCAACAACATGTTCCTACACACACAGCACTTTCAAGAAGGTCAAGGACACTTAAGACAGACACAGAACTGAAGAACCACAGATGTGCCGGTCATCAAATATCAGGAAGAGTTTAGGAGTGGGAGGAATTCTTGATACCACATTTTCATTCTGCCTCTCGTGGGTCTACATTTTTGCACATAGCTCTTAGAACAACTGCTGAAAATTGAGTCTGGCAGTAAGCAGGTTGTCAGATGTTTGTGGGTTCTTCCCAACCCTCTGTGAGGTAACTGACAACTTGTATTGGTGTCCTGTGCAGACAACCTTGGGGACTTTATGGCGGGATTCATTCCAACAGCTGAGGGAGGTATCTACCATGAGTATATCAAAAGAGGAAAAGTTCTGATAAGAGTATGTGCTTAACCTAGAACAAATAAAACAAGGGGAATGCAAAAGCCAGGCTATGCATCTGTAGCAGAATCAAGTGGGATTCAGTGAATCCAGGTTAAATCTTTGGAAAAGTCTTAAGAACAAAAACATTTTGTGTGATCAGTTAGAGAATGCTTGTCTCTATACTTGGACTGCAGGTCAAAGGCATAACTATCAATGAACATAATGATACAGCAACCTTCTACGGAATACTTTCTATGGGTTGAAAACTGGGACAGATGCGCTTTGCCCAGATTGCTCACCTACACTTTTGCAATGGGAATGATGGGCTCCTCTAAAGAATTTATAAATTAGGAGAATTGTGTTCAACCACTATGGGAGGGTTTGGGACTTGCTCTAGAGATGTTTAAGGGAGAAGGTAAGATGGTCTTTTGGGGTAAGCTTCAGTAAAGTCCTGCCTGAAAGCAGGGAATGAGCCTAACTTCTAAGCTCTTCTGGTTCTGAGAAGGAAGACCATTCCCTCCATTTGGAGTTCCAGTTCAAGTTATATATGGAATGATGTTGGGAGATGAAAAATCCACTCACTCTAAGATGAATTGAGAAGGAAGTGAGATTAAAAAAAATAATAAAAAAATATCTCACTGAACTTAAAAAACAAAACCCAAAATCTTGGCATTATGATGAGACCAAATCGACATGATCCACCATAGAATAATTACCTGAGTTTAGGTAAAATATTCTGATATTTTATTCTTTCAACTTGCTTGGCCCAAAATGGCTATGAATTTTGTTAAAACTAACGGTGCACTGGGATTCAAACTGCAGAGTCAGAATCTGGCAAGTGTCACACTGGCACTACTATCACTGAGCTAGTAACCTGGTGAACATGGGTAAATGCTCAGGAACAGCCAACTAAACACTTCTGGCAGTTATCAATCTGTTATCCTCTTGAAAGGGACAAGGAACAAATCCAGGGGGCTTTGACACCATCAAAATGTATCACTGATTTTAACAATGTTTTGAATAACTTCCCTCAAATTATTTCAGGTACAGTCTTCTTTAGTGTTTCCCCCATCTTGAAATTCCTGCTTCTTCCCATCTATTTGGATGGCTGCCAATCACTCCTTGTAAGGAAGTGGTGTGACAACTCATAATACATTTGAGCCTGTATGTTGTTTTTTTTTTGTTGACTAGTTAATATCTAGATCTAGGTAAGCTTCTCTGATTAGATAATTTTATGGAGAAAATTAGAATAAAATGGTTTCCACCAGGGCCAGGTGAATATGAGCATAGGTTTTTGTCTTTCCTTATATTTGATTTAAAATTCAGCATGATTAAATTAAATGGATTAAATTTCAGCATGCCCCAAAGACGGGCAACTAATGCAATTTTTAAAATAGTATTTGTAACCCTGCAAGCAATCTAGATGCAATTTATGGAAAAAGAACAAGCTACTCCACTCAAATGTACAACAAACGTGCTTGAGTAGCATTTAGAAACAAGAAAGAAATGCTTATTAAAATTTAACGTCAAGTTGGCCAGACTTTGGGCTGGACTGGAAAACAGAGTGCTGTTTGGTGAAAAACCAGGGAGAAAAGAGATGTGATTCTACTCCTGGGAATAAATGATGAAGAAAGAAGGGCCAACTAATTCCATCATGGCAGTCTATACAACCTTAAATGGCAAAAGTTATTTAGAACCAAATCTTGCCACTATATGTGGCTTTTCATTTGTAGGTGTACAAATCTGATCTCAATGGAAAGGAAGAATATCCATTCTCTACAATTGTTCTGAAGAGAACAAATGGTTCTGGAGCAATGCTGGTGGGCACAATAATACTGAAAATGACCCCCATCTAAGCCTTATTCACAGGGGGCCTGGCTTGGCCAATCTTGAACTTCTTCCACTCTAATTCTGCTGGCTCTCAACAGCTCTGAATGGTTACGGCACTTGAGGGAATATAGGATTCCATAACACCTTCTGAACAGCCTTCTGCCCTGTCCTTTATGTGTCCTGGGCTCCTAAGCAGACTCATTGCCTCTATGAGAATGTGTGTTCTAAGAGAATGCTTAGCCCAGTGCTTGGGTTGGGACTGAGGGAGGCACTAAACCTAGGCTGGAATGCCCTTACACATGTGGTAACAGAACCTTTTATCATAAGAGTGTGCATGTCAAGAGATGAGATGCCACTGAGGACATAGGCTTTCTTTGTGCTCGTGAAAGATGCACTCGTGAGACGCCATTTACCACAGCAGGACTGCCCTGCTACAGAATGACTACAGGGACTAGACAGACCTTCATTAGAGGCATTTCTTACAAAATGAATTGTAAGTGGGTCCATCATGATTTGCTCGGTTTGTCATGAAACATCAAAGTTACCCAGAGCTTTGAACACATCAAGTACAGATGCAACACATCCAAGCAAAGCTAGTCAAGGTGATTCCTAGGAAATTAGTAAACTTCATGGTGGTGGGGCAAGAGGAGGGGTTGTAGAGACAAAGATGTGGCTGGGGGTGGGGGTGAACTGGAGATGGGGAGAGGGAGAAAGGGAAAGAGGCAGGGAGAGGGAGAGAGAGAGATGCAAACCAGTTTTTTATAGTTCCATTTTGAAGAGTCTGATCCCACCAGGCAAAACTGAGATCCTACCCCAATTGGCCAGAGGCCTATGATGACCAGGACTGTATTTGAACGGAGCTGCAGAAGCTCCAGCCCTAATCCTAATACAAAAAATGGGAGTCCGTTTATTATTAAAATAGAAACTCGAAAATACTTCAAACCATCTTGTTAGCAGCATAGTTCCAAATGCAACATTCCTTTTATCAATCAATTCTTAATCATGTGCTAAGTCTGCTAAGACCCTTCAAAGAGCACTCAGTTCTCTTAAATGGCAGACCATCCTGCTAAGAGATTCTCTGGGGTTCTATTCTGAACACTACTCAATTTGATTGGGGGCACTTTTTAGACAGCTATTTGGCACTTTCCATGTGGAGTTCTTAGGCACAGTGTGACAGAGCCAGCTTGGTGAGCCCCTCCCCATGCATTCGGTAAAGCAGCTGAAACTCTGCAGGCAGCTGGTGAGACTCCTGCCATTTGGTGGTAAATTTGGTTCCTTTTTTGTCATAGTAATGGTATGGAAGGTCTTCCCTTGTGTTGGGGTCAAATCCAAAAGGCCAAAATCCGTACAAGTGGATCTCTTCACAGACTGCAGACGCAAGGGTATATATAAGAATACCTGTGCTCAGCCGTTTGGGTGACAAATGTTTGTTTCTCCAGTACCTGTGGAGTAATAAGTAGACATGGGTTCAGAGGCCAGGTTTTCAAACTTCCGGGGGATACGTCATGACTGGGTTTGTTCATGTAATGAAAACAGGACTTGCTGGGAATCTATCTTACAGATCACAAAAACTCCCCAGGTAAAACTGCCTGGATCACCGGTGGAGGCTGTGGGAAATGCAAATGAGGGCCCTTTGTTGAAAAACTGTTAAGAATCTTAAGATGGTGACAGCAGAGTGTGAGACCAAATGCCACGCCCTTCTGAATGCAGTGTCCTTCTGGGCATGGGGTTTTTCTGAGTGTGGGGTTGCACACCCATCAAGTGGTCCCTACCTCTGGACTGTCCTACAGAGTGGTGGCTGTGACTCAGTGGTACCACCATGGGAGGCCACTGTATATGGTGGAGGTGGGTGTTTAATCTAAGGGGATCTTCTCTGTCACTTCCCGATTCAAACCTAGAAAGAAATCCTTTTTCTTGGGTTTGGAAACTCTCTTACAAAAAAAACTGTGTTCCCTACTCCTTCAATGACTAACTAGGGAGTTCCCAAGTTCTTCTTTAGCTTGCTGGGGCCTATGAAAAGTATTTACACACTTTATAGCTGACCCTTCCACACTTAGGTAGTACCTTGAAACCTTTCTAACTACACTGGCAAATACTCGAGACTTCTGTGTGTATGTGCATCATTGGCTGTGAAGGCACAATGAATGTGTTCATGAATCACGTTTCTGTGGATTGTAATGCTTTCCAGTTTTCATCAAACCTGAGTGGTTCTGGGCATTGTGCATCAATCCACCAGGCCCTCTGGAAGGCTGGTGGCAGGTGGGCTGCACAGACCAGCCCCCTGATATTTCTAAGCATATACATTCCCTTCTTCACTACTTCACCCCCACAGACATGGACCTTTCCCCTTTTAGATGAAATGAAAATGTTCCATCTCAGTTTTAATATTCTTAGCTAAAGGGTTAGGTTGATTTCTGACAATTCTTCTGGCATAAGGAAACTTGAATGGAACAAGAGGGTTGTAAAATGATGACATCAAATGTCCCCAAGACAGGTACACAAGAGCCTGGCTTCTTTCTGCCCAATTTGTGCAACAGCTCTGGGTAACTCTACTCTTTGCACTTGAGTTTTCTCATCTTTAAATTTAGGAGATGAGCCACAATGACCTCTTTTAAAGGTGATCAGATATCTGGGACCCTGGGAGAGTCCCAGTGAATGTCCTGTTGTCCCTACTGCAATGATTAACAGTGTCTCCGTTCTCGAAAAGAAAAAGTTCCAGTTTGGGTTATAAATTACGGCTTCACCCTACCTCTTAGATATGTGCACATAACAGTTTCTTAAACTATGATTCCTCCTCCTAAGGAAGGCTTAGAATGTCAGCTACCTAAGGAAGGTTTAGAATGTCAACTAAACAGTATTGCACTTAGAAGGCTTTAGGGGACAAGTAAAACCCAAAACCAGACCCTATTTAGGTTTTTTGGGACTGTGATGGGAGGTGTGGCTGGTGGGTTTGAACCTTGTGGTGAGCAGCCCAGTGCCTAACCCATAGCACTACGGGAATAGTCTATTATGGGATTTAAAAAATCTTTAGAATTCTTTGGTTACCAGATCTTCCAGAGCACATTCTATCTTATAATATCTGGGCAGTTTCTTATGATGTTGAAGCTACTTGCATAGGGGAAATTAAGAGTTGAGGCAATTTGCTTAGCTGATTTAAAGGGGGGAAAATAGCTTACAATTAATCTTGCTTTATAAAATGTCTTGGATTCATGACTTGCAATTCTGGCTGCATATCAGAATCACCTGGGAACTTATTTTAAAATGCCATCTATCTGCTGATCAGCACATCACTTGCATCAGAATGTCTTGAGATAGAGCCCAGACAAAAGTATTTTTTCAAAGCTCCTAAGTGATTCCAAACTAGTTTTCAAGTCAGTTTGAACTGCAAGATTGGCAGTTCAGTCTCACCAGTCACTCCTTGGAAACGCTATATGGACTCACTATGAGTCAGAACCGACTCAGCAGCACTTAACAACAATAAGTGATTTCTAAGAAACTGGTAGTGTAGTGGGTTATGATTTAGGCTCCTAACCACAAGGTCAGTAGTTCAAATTCACCAGGCACTCTGCAGGAAAGAGCTGAGGCTTTCTGCTCCCGTGAAGAATTACAGCCTCGGAAACCTTATACAGGGTCACTATGAGTTGGAACCCACTCAACCACATTTGACAACAAGTGATTCCTAAAGTATGGACAGAACTGAGAACGACCAGACTAGACAATATTGCATCTCTGATTAATCTATCAAATTACAAGAGATCACAAAGAGTTCATAAAATACTTTTCACATGGTTTTTCACTCAACTCTCAAATGATCAAAGCAGATTATTCAATGTGTATTTTATCTAGGCGTCCTGGTGTGGTGCTGCAGGATATGCATTGGACTCCTGATTTCAAGGTCGGTGGTTCAAACCTACCAGCTGATCCTTGGAAACCCTATAAAGAGTCACTATGAGTCGGGACAGAGTTGACAGCACTTAACAACAACAATGGGGTTTTCTAACCTTGAAAATCTACAAAATACTCAAAGAAAAAAAAGGAAAAATTTTAAGTCAAGTGCATTTTCTTAAAATACACACACACACTAACTTTAGCCATTGGCATTATCGGGACACAGTTATCCACTAAAAATTAAAGAAAAGGTCTTGTTTGTTGGTGATTTCCATGACTATTCACCAGGCTTACCTCCAAGAGAGGGGCTGACAAGACACTGATCCTTCCATTTGGCACTTGGGGTGGATGACTGAAAGTCTTAACTTGAGAGACTCATTTATTCATTACAAACGAGAATTAAGAGTTTGCCCTAAGTACTAAACTAAACACAACAGCTAACTGGATAGCTCCCCCAACTACCCGCACCCCTACCCCAAGAGATTACAATATTGATTTGCCATCTGGTGAAGTATGAGTTAAATGCAATAAAACATACACACCTGTTGACATGTTGCATTATATTTCCAGGCCAAGCCAACTGGACCTTTAACTGACCTCTGTGTTCAACAAAAAAGTCAACTAATGTCCTGGTAACCGTGGCTGAAGTGTGGAAGAAAAATGCAGGGATCCAAAGAATGGCCCCATCGAGCTTTTTTAAACTGAGGAAAAAGTTGTTACGGTCCTGAATGGTCAGAAGATTGTTGTAATATTTTTCCAAGATGCTAGGGTTGAAGGTTGTAAGGTTGGTTTTCCTTCCAACATCTTTTTGGAATGCCTCCGTAGGGGCGAAATTGCAACGGAAGACAAAATCTGATTTATCTATTTCTTGTCCACATTGGCTCCCTGTCAAGATCCCGCTATTTCCAACCACAGCACAAATATTATAATGCTTATTCATAATGGGTGATACTTCTGGAAGTAGTGATCGGAAGTTATTGCTAATGGAGAAAACATATTTATGGCTGGAATAATCATAGTGCATCAGTTGTCCAATCCGAACACTATTCTTGGTCAAAGAAAAATTTTTTATTACATCGACATGTTGAAGAATTTCTCGCCTAAAATAAAAAGAAATTTCATTAAATGCATCCCATTCAAAAGCCTTGGTTTTTCCATTCTATGTCTTATGTGGCCATTTTATCCATACAACAAACTCAGGCACATTGAACCCCAAAAAGGTTAAATGTTTATAGTAATTCTGGTGTTTGGAGGGAGGACTTATTCAGAGTCAACAGACATGTACTAATCTCTCAGTTAACTTCTGCGTGCAATCCTTTGAGACTCACAAAGGTTGTAATTTGAAGTTTTAGTTGTCTTTGCTAGGTTTCCTGCTCTATGATGAATGTATTTTGAGAGGAAGGCACAGGCAAAATGGTGCCAGAAAACACAGGGAGACAATTGACACAAACCTTGAAGAATTCCCATTAATGCACTAGCATTAATAGTGAGAGTTCATAACCAGGGGCTAGTGTGGTGCTGTAGGGTAAGTACTGGACCAAGGTTGTTCTGAACTGTAAGGTTGGTGGTTCAAATTCCCCAGCCACTCCTTGGAAACCCTGTAGAAGGTCGCTATGAGTCGGAACTGGCTCGATGGCACTTAACAACTGTAACACTTGTTTGCTCTTGGACTGCAATGTTCAAGGAATATCGAGTATCACTGGTGTCCAAATATGAGCCAAATAGATATGAGTCAGGACAATATTATCTATTATTCAAATATGAAAATGGTAGCAGCAGTGCGTGTATTTGAATATTTAATAGAAATGAGATGATAATCTCATTAAGAGCCTTTGAATAATGAAACAGGGTTATTTTTCTACTTGATTATATAGAAACATAATTTAGTTGAGGAAGTCTAATGCTCAGAAAGAAAGACCATTGTAAATCATAAAAATGCATACATCCTAACAATTCAGAGGGTAAATAAGGCTTGGATGGTATGAATAGCTAACTTCAGGTTGTTTTCAGTAAAATCAAGCATTCCCTGTAAATGTCTGTAGTGTAATACATTACAAGCTGGACTGCTAACCACAAACTTGGCAGTTTGAATCTACCCATTGCTCCTCAGGAAAAAGATGAGGCTTTCTGCTCCTGTAAGATGTACAACCTGAGAAATCCCATACAGGGTTGCTATGAGTCAGAACCAGAACCGACTCACAGCGTGGCACACAACCACCATCATTTTAGCATCTCAGTCACTCAAAATATTTACAAGACAAGTAACATCTTCCTTTGAGTTTAGATTCCCCAACACTAGGAAATCACATTACATCTTGTGTATCTTTTGCCTGTAATAGAGCCTGGATGATGTTACATATAATCACTTTCCCTGGAATTTTATTTAAAAAAATTACTGCATTCTTCAATGTCAACTTTCCAAAAGTTATCAGTGTAGTTCTTACAAGTTATAGTAAAGGTAAGTATAAAAGGATACTGGTAAAAATAAATGAAAAATTATAATTAGTAGATTGTAAAGAGTAAATATTTGAAAAGGAAATATTGTTGTGACTGGACATTCAGGTTACATGGACTAGTGTGAGAAGAATATTTTTCCTGACTTTGAGATATGTTTTAGAGAGATGTATAATGTATTCTCTCTATGAAAATTTCTGGGTGGTCTATAAAATCAATATTGGTTAAAAAAAACCAACAACCCCAAAGTTAACAAAAAAAAGGACCTTTAGGCTTTTAGAATCTATCAATTATTTTCATGGATTATTTTCTAATAAAACAATGTTCTGAAATTTTAAACCATATCCACAAGACTATAGGCTAATTTTTCAAGTAAACAATGTTTTCATAACACCATGAATATCTACTGAATTTGTTTTAATTCTACCTGTAGATTAAAATGTTTTAAAAAAGAGTGAGCTGTAGCTAGAAATACTCTGACCACATCACATCCTTCTAAATAGAAGGCTCTGTAAAATAAGTATTCACACCCCTAATGAGCATGCACACTAGATGGCTCACATTCCATTTAGCAGCAAAATAATCCCACCAGAAGGAGTAAGGATTTATCTCAGGTTCCTAAGAGCAGAGTAAAAATCACTAAGGAGAATACATAAATCAGAATACAACTTGTCCTGTTCTCCCCTAACCCCTTAAGAAACCAAACCAAACAAACTCTGTCATGAGTATGAATGAGGCTCCTACAAGACATAACAGAGTAAGAATAATGATGGAGAAATGAAAAGCTGCAAAGGCTTAATGAAAACAAACAGGCAAAATTATAACAACTGCTCTCACTTTAAATATATGCATATGATTGGGCTAAAGTTTTCACTCATCATTGGATGGAGGTGGAGTATGGTATTTTCTGTGAGATTCAAAGAGAAAATAGCACTTTAATACATATTTTTTAAAACGCCAGTAGGGAAGTGAAAAAGCACTGGGTGATCTTTTTTGCCATTAGCCCCTTCCTCATTTATGTATATATTTTAATACGAAAGATAGTGCTGGCAATATAACCTGACACGTTAACTACATATCAAAGAACAAAAATAAGTCCGAGTTAGGGAGGATATGGAAATATCTCCTCTTGATGCCCCCATTCAAATTGGTCGTCCTGTTTCCTTATGAGAGGGCAATACCAGGGGGCAAAATACACTAACTAGCAACGGTTACCTATCAGAGTGTTGTTGCGCTGCCAGGCCGAGAAGACAATGCAAATAACCCCGAAGAAGGAGAGAAGACAGTTTTGTTGTGTTGTTTTGCTTGTTTGTTTGGCTTTTGGCTTTCCAGAATTCAAAAGTAACGTTTTAGATGTTTCCCCCTATCCTACCTTTGGTGTAAAAACGCTGTCCGATTAAATGTCCACTTAGAAGGTTTCTCTTGGAGTTCCTGGGTCAAAGAATTCGTAATGGGCACAAATGATGGGTCTAGAAACTTCAGTGCAAACTGTGACCTGCAGAGGAGCGTGAGCACAAACATGCTGGCCTTACTCAGCTCCGGGATCCGAGGCAGCCTGTGAGATCAAGCGGCTGGGGAGGGGGCAATTGACCCATGTACTGTCTCCATCCCGCTCCAGAGCCCCCCTTTCCTTGCCCAACTCTCTTATCCCCACACCACTCGGGAAGAAGAAAGACTCTGGTTCTGTTGTCAATCCCCAGGGTGCGGGAGAGACCGTAAAATGGCCGTCTCTGGGAGAGCACGGGCGGGAGCCGGGAGCGCGCTGGAGCCGGGGCCCGGCGAGGAGAGAGTCAGCACCGCGGACAGCGCCCTCCAAGCCCCAGCCGCCAGGGTGGATTGATTTTAGGCAAAAGGGCAGAGAAAAGCGGAGACCCAGGGGGAATCTGGCGGGGGGATGGGGGGGGGGGGACAGCTCTTGACTTAACCTCTTCCTACCCGAGCGTAAGCCGGACTGTCCCCTGGCTGAGGGCCCTGGAGGCCGCTGGCCAGTTGCGCTCCTCTGCCCTATTGGAGATGCTCGCTCTAGGTCCCGCACCCTAGGCCCGGTTGGGACGGCAGGCTGCAATTTGCAATTGCCACCCGCCCCTTGGGACGTCCGGCTGGGAGAGCTTCTTAGGTCTCAGGTAGGGGCGGGGAATCTGGATGAGCTGCGCCAAGCCTTCCCTGGCCGGTCCCGCGCCCGGCTGGTGACCACGACCCAGTCCGAAGGTCGGCGGCTCTTAGGAGGGTCGCTTCCTGCAGGGGCATGGGGGATTGCGAATGACCGAAAGTGGGGTGACGAGGGGAATGGGTCAAGAAAGAACGGCTCTGGGGCTTCAGGAGACTAAACCCGCGCATCCCTTGAGGGAAGGGGGAGAGAGGAGCGGGCGAGGTGGGAGGGTGGGTAACGGGGGCCGGCGCCTGCGCCATTAAACCGCCCGGGGCCGCCCGGAGCTTGGCCGCGGTGTATGTAGAAAGGGCGCAGGGCAGACGTTCACCCCACGCTCATCCTCCCCTCCCCCAACATACGCTGCCTTTCACTCCACCATCCTTCTCCTTAAACCCTCCCCCCGTTTTTGAAATGGGAGAAGGGATGCGGCGAAGACACGAGGAATGCAATCACATCGATTAGGGCGACGACTTCAGGGGCTTTGGGTAGAAAAAGAAAAGGGAGGGGAAGGGAGAATTCAAGAGGAGTGGAAGGACCACGCAATTATCGCGCCCCGAGTTCCTCGGAGAAGCCCAGACGACTCCTCTGCCCCCCGACCCTATACCATGTCCCCGAGGGCGCTCCACTGGAGGCCCACACTCACCGGAATCCCGCGTGGAACATGTACATTCGGGGCGCCCCCGGGCTGGCGTACTTGGGAGTGGTGAAGATGTTCTCCTTTTTTAGAGACACGTAGCTGATGAGTGATAAAATCAGCAGGACAACGCTGAGCATCACTAGCCCCAGCACACTGGCGACCCGGGCCATTTTGCAATTTCTCATCCCGGGCTGGGCTGGGATCAGGGAAACCGGGGCAATCGGTCCATTGAGCGGCCAGCGGCTCGCTGGCGGGTGCGCGCGGGTGTGCGAGTGTGAGTGTGTGTGCGCGCGCGTGTGAGCGTGTGTGCCGGGGGAGGGGGTCGGGGCAGGGGGGCCAGGGAGGGCGGGGGTGGGGGGAACTGGAGCCCTGGAGAGACGCCGGACCCCCAAGGAAGGGGCGCGCGGGCCGGGAGGCTGAGCTGGAAGATGGAGGGGCTGCGTGGCGGCGTGGCAAGGGAGCACGGCGCGCCGTGCGTCCCCGGCGCCGGCTCAAGCTCCCCTACGCGTTTCCAGCGAGGCTGCCATCTCCTCCGCCGCCTGCAAGATAAATGTGATTGGAATAATGTTACAGTTCGATCTAAGCACAGGATTTAATTAATGAACTCTAATCTTTCAAATAACAGAGAGAGAGAGAGAGGGCGGGAGGGAGGGGGCGGCGGAGGGAGGGGGAGGGAGGGTAATTGAGGTTGGCAGTCTACAGCCCAGGCCAACGGTGGTCTCCCGGGCTTGGGGTGCGGACTAGGAGGTGGCTGTAGAGAGACAGACGCCTACACCACTCATCACCTTATAAATGGATCATGGAATCCGGAGGGAAAAATATCGGGTTTGCTGCCTTGGTGGAGAAATGTCAGCTGGGTACTTCTCAAGAGGGGAGAAAGGTTTGAGGAAAACAGGCGTTCAAAAACTGTTGTAACAGGGAACCGAGGGAAGAAGCGGGAACAGTATTGTTGTACTGAGAGGATTGTAACCAGCGTTAGGAAACAAAATGTTGAATGTAAAACTAATTTGTTCTGCACACGTCCACCCAAGCCACAATAAAATGTTAAAAAAATGTTTGCTCTGCTATCCCTGCACAGCCTTGGGACCTCTGGGGCAGGCCTGCCCCAGCACCCCAGTAAGGAGGAGGACACATTGGCTGGGTGGGCCTGAGGTAAGAATGCTTAAGATCTCCTTGGAATTTCCTAGAAGGTACCCATCATCCACCCCGCCCCCCTTCCGCTGCACAGGTAACTTCTCTCTAAAAGGTGGAGAAAGCAACCAAAACCCTTCTGAGCCATGGTGACCCCATAGGTTACCAGAGTAGAACGGTTCCATCGGGTTTTCTTGGCTATAATCTTTATGGGAAAAAACGATTGTCAGGCTGTGTGTGTGTGTGTTGCTACTGGGTGGATTCTAACCACCAACCTTAAGTTAATGTTGTGAAATGCCATCGAGTTGGTGCTGACTCACAGCAACCCTATATAGAGTTTCCAAGAAGCGGCTGGTGGATTTGAACTGCCGACCTTAGGGCTCAAATTGACCTTGTGTTCCCGCGTCTAAGTTAATAGTCAGTTGCAAAATGCTTTGATCACCCAGAGACCTTTTAAAAGGAATGTGGTGGCTCTGTAGGATAAGCACTGACCTTTGATCCACAGGTCGGTGGTTTGAGCCCACCAGCTCTCTGAGAGAGAAACAGAGCTTACTGCTCCTGCAAAGATTTAGAGTCTTGAAAACCCTATACAGGGTCGCTATGACTAGGAACTGACTGGATGACACTTAACAACAACAATGAGCCCTTGCAAAAGAGCCCTGGCAGTGCAGTGGCTAAGCACTCAGTTTTAACCCAATGATGGACAGTTTTAACCCACCAGCCCCTCAGATGAAGGATGATTTGACAGTCTGCTTCTGTAAAGATGACAGCGTTGAAAACCCAATGGGGCAGTTCTACATCGTCCTGTCGGTCCTTTTGTCAGGGCCTGGTTCCACGCACACAGCAGGTCACTAGTGTATTTGCTCTTGAGCTGAGCAGGCCTGGGGGAGTCACCCACTTTCCATAGGGTTGCCTTTGTGAGAGACCACCTAACTTAGCCCTGAGCCACCCAGGAGCTGAGGATATTGAAACCAGCCATATTCATTATAAATGTACAGAACTGTCTTTTGAAGGCACCCCAAGAATCAGGTAAGAGAGACATTTCACCTTTGAGGGTGGGAGGAAAATAGACACATACGTGACTACATGCTCAGCCTTAAATTTGTTTTTAGTATATTCACGTGTTGTTGGTAGCTGTCGAGTCAATTCTAACTTATAGCAACTCTATAGGATTTCTGAAGCTTTGAATAGCATAAAGGAGCAAAAATCCTCATTTTTCTCCTGAGGACCAGCTGGTAGACTTGAACTGCTGACCTTGTGGATAGCAGTCAAATGCATAAGCCACTATGCCGCCATAGCTCTTTATAGTCACATGTTAACTTGCTTGAATGTTAGTTGGCGAAGAAAGTGAAGCTATCTTCAGGTGAGCTACCCTTGGTTTGGAAGGAAACTTACATTTCTTTAGCTCTGTCATTTGCAGTGAGCTTATGGCCCCTTCTACTTCAACTGTACCCTTGGTTTGATGAAGTCACTATAAGCTGGAACCAACTCAGGGGCACCTAATAAAAACAACAGGGTTCCTTACCAGTTGTCACTGAATCAATTTCAACTCAGTGGTGCCAACAGTTAAGGTGCTTAGCTGCTAAACAAAAGGGTGGAGGTTGAATCCACCCAGTTGTTGTTAAGTGCTGTAGAGTCAGTTTCCTACTCATAACAACCCCATATAGGGCTTTCAAGGAGCAGCTACTAGGTTTGTACCACCAACCTTGCTGTTAGCAGTCCAGTGCTTATCCTACAATGCAACACCAGGACTCCTGGGTCTACCCAGAGGCACCTGGAAAAAAGTATTTCTGAAAAAATACGCCATGGACAACTCTATGGAGCCCAGTTCTGTGCTGACTTATATGGAGTCACCATGAGCAGGAATTGACTCAATGACACAGTTCAATGGGCTGTTGGTGTTGGGTACCATCAGGTTGGTTCCGACTCATATCAACCCTGTGCTCAGCAGAACAAAATCCTGCTAGGCCCTGAACCATCCTCACAATTGCTATGCTTGAGCCCACTGCTGCTGCCATTGTGCCATTTCATTTTGTTGAGATCTTCCTCTTTTTCTGCTGAACTTTCACTTTACCGAGCACAACATCCTCCTCCAGGGACTGAGCCCTCCTGTTAATATGTTCAAAGTATGAGAGGTGAAGTTTCACCACCCTGGCTTTTAAGGAGCATTCTGGTTGTACTTCTCCCAACAAAGATTTGTTTTTCTTCTCCAACACCGTAACTCAAATCCATAAATTCTTCTATGTTTTTTTCTTGTTGTTGTTGTTGTTAAGTGCCGTTGAGTCGGTTTCGACCCATAGCGACCCTGTACAGGGTTTCCGAGGGTGTAAATCTTTACGGTATTCATTGAAAATACCATGGCTTTGGTCAGGCACACCTTAGTTACTCCTCAGACTGATGTCTTTGCTTTTGAACATTTCAAAGAGGTTTGTGCAGCAGATTTGTCCAATGCAATACATCAGTTGATTTCTTGATTGCTACTTCCAGTGCAGCCAGAGTGCACCTTGGAGACCAGGATGGCCAAGCTTCGTCTCTCATACTTTGGACATATTGTCAGAAGGGACCAGTCACTGTACAAAGATATCATGTTTGGTAAGGTAGAGGGTCAGAGAAAAAGAGGAAGACCCCCAGTGAGATGGATTGGCCAAGTGGCAGCATCAATGGGCTCAAGCGTGGCAACAATAGTGAGGTTGGCCCAGGATCAGGCAGTGTTTCATTCTGCTGTGCATAAGGTCGCTATGAGTCGTTACTGACTCGATGGCACCTAACAACAACTTCCAGTGGGTATAGAAATTTAAAAAGAATGTTCCAGACAGATGGAAGACTAGGTACAGACACCTAGAAATTGAAAAGATTATGTTGAACTTGCGGAGCACTAAAGGGTACGAGGTGGCTGCCATGAAAGGAGAAGAGCCTACAAAGGATGTTGGGAACAGATTGTGAAAGGTTCGCTGTGACATGCAAAGGAGTTGGCCTGCATTCTTGAGGCAATGCTTAGAAATGCCCACCCCACAGTTTTTAGAGAGGAATGAATGACCCGATCCAATTAGACATGGAGGCAGCTGAAGTCTGGTCCATGGGGGCTGCTCATGCCAATGTCAGCTAATGTGTGTAGTGGCCGACTTGACTGTCCATATGCCAAACACTCCCCAAAGTTCCTTAAGACCCAAACTTACTGCCATATAATTAATTCTGATTCATAGCTATAGGAAGAGTAGAAGTACCCTGTGTGGTTTCTAAGGCTGTAAATCTTCATGGAAGCAGACCGCCTCATCTTTCTCCCTCTGAGTGACTGGTGGCTTTGAACCACTGTCCTTGTACTTAGTAGCCCACCATGTAACCCATTAAGGGTTATCCGTTATATCCCTTATACAAGGGATCCTGTTATAAGTTCCAGTGGCCCTTAATTTATCAATGAGCCAATTGATACTTTTTAATACAAGGCACTCCTAAAAAAGGGATCAGGAATCTGACTTTGGGGAAGGTGATGTCCTTCCAGATACTATGGAGATCCTGGTGCATGGTACTGGAGGAAGCACCTGGGAGATACTGCTTGTGGATGCTTTGGACCGGAGTTCTTTCTTCATATGATTGCCTGATTTCTTGATGTGTTATTATAGGACAAATACTGGACTGATAACTGCAAGGTCAGCAGTTCAAACCCACTACCCGCTGCTTGGAAATGCTATACAGGGTTGCTATAAATCAGAACAACCCAACAGCACTTAATAACAGTAATCAGTCTTGCAAGGGAACGCTGGTAGCACAATGGTTCAAAGCCATCAGTTACTATGCAAGGGAGAAGGATGTGGCAGGCTGCTTCCATAAAGATTACAATCTTTGGAAACCCTATTGGTCAGTCAACTCTGTTCTATAAGAAGCAGAGTAGTGTAGTGGGTTACGAGTTGGCCTGATAACCGTAACGTCAGCAGTTTGAATCTACCAGGTACTCCATGGGCGTCAGATGAGGCTTTGGGCTCCTATAAAGATTTATAGGCTCAGAAACCCTATACAGGGTTGCTATGAGTCAGAACCCAATCGGTAGCACATAACGTCCACTACCACCAACCAGTCCATTCTATAGGGTCGCTATGAGCTGGGGTCCACTCAATGACTGTGGGTTGGTATTCAGTTTAGTCAGTCTTGCAGTGGCCACAGAGGAAAGATCTTGGGATCCTTGGGACTGCTGGCCTCTTATTTTCCACAGAAGGTAAACACTTGATGAGTTCAGAAGTGGGAGAAATCACCATGGTCTAAGAAAGCTTCGTAAAAGATCTCTGCTGAAGCTGAGACTGGAAAAATACCTGGTGTTTCCACGGATGGAGATGGTACGAGAGGACAGGGTGGGCAGGGACTACCAGGCTGACCAGCAGTGTGGAGGATGGTGAGGGAAG